AAAATATATGTTATGACATCTTGAATAAACGAAATCAAAATAAATAAATCAGTCGTGATATAATCATATTTATTTATAACTAAACGACGCAACATACCATATAATTGATATATGATTGAAAAATAATGGAATTCATGGCTATCGAACTTCAAAGTGGGTGATGTCGGATGTGACCCTGGGTAGTTTAAATAATCGTCCCCCGTGGGCTCACAAACCAGTAAGTCCCTCATCCTCATCCGTATTATCCCGGGTTGGTGACAAACAGTAGAACGTTAAACCCCATTTTATTGCAATTGATATGTTTAAAACAGTAGACCCTTAAACCCCATTTTATTTCAATTTATATGTTTAAAATGAATGATATGTATTATTGCAACTGTTTGTTGGTTTCTTTTAGAACGTATTTTACGATATGATAAATGAAATGGAGTTAAACGCCCTACTTCTTTGACTGGGCAAATGAAAACGGCCATACGCCAAGCAGAGTGCTATGAGGGAAATGTAACCTGGACAGCAGCGCTACTGCCTATTCTAATATCGAATTCCAACTGCCAAGGGATCTTTAAAGAGCATGCCAATTTGTACATGGGACTCGTTTTTTCGTCCCATCTAAACGACTATACGTTGATGTCCGTGATTTGTTAAGAGCTCTATCTAATATTTATCAATGGAAAGCCTCGTGTTTACCGAGAGTCTGATAAAAAACAAACACGATATTACTATGGACAAGGAACTGACTATACTAATTATATCATAACTTAACCACCGATACAGGGTTCGATATCACATTTGTACGTGATAAAGTTTTGATAATGTCATCTGTTCAATCTGTTGGGTTTCATCCGAAATGAAATCTGGTTGAAAGGGACCATTCCGATTTGAAAAAAAAGTCTCAGAAATAAATGTCCGTGTTTTTATGCAATGTATTTACCTTGTCTAAAGATATTGAATCGTTTGGACGTGAACGTTAAAACCGCTTATCCGGACGCGTCCTGCTGTTCTGCTACAACTGGGCATACGCCATTTGGTGCTACGGCCTACTCTAATATCGAATTCCAACTGCCAAGGTTCTTTTACGTGCACGCCAATATGTTCATGTGAGCCAGCATCTTACTCACTTAGCCACTGTGGCTCCCAGGTTTTCATACGAAACTTCCGTCACAACAGGAAGATCAAAGTATCTGTTAAACACTATTGACGATGGTGACGAATGTTTAAGACTACAGTCAAAATATTATACACCATGGCCCGATGACCCCACCCCTATCTTGGTCCGATGAGCCCCCCCCCCTCCCCTCACCACTATCTTGGCCCGATGACCCCCATATCTTGAGGCCCTCCTATGTTTCAGCATGCCAAGCCTATAGGTAAATCTAGCACTCTCTGTTAGTTAACGAGAGAGAGAGAGAGAGAGGGGGGCGGTGGGGGAGAGAGAGAGGGAGAAATGAGGTTTGACGTCCAATCGACACAAATTAGGTCATTTCGGGACAGTGGTTCAATATTATTTCAATAATTCTCTGGTGTGTACGGGTCTTTTGCATTGGGAGGAAACCGGAGGCCCAGAGAAAATCCACAAGGTAAGACAGGCGACCCTACTCCTACAACCGGGATATCGAAACCACGCCAGTTTATTCAATTACAGTGCGCACTAACCATTTGGGAGAATGTCCAACAAATGTCAAATTACCGGTCTTAATACGAGGTTCCAGTTATTGTGTCATACATCACTGGAAAGTGTGTTTCTATGGCTCTTTGAATCTTTGAAATGAGGTCTAACGTCCACTCGACTCAAACTAGGTCATTTCGGGACTAACATAAATGGTTTGATTTTATTTCAATAATTCGCTTGAGCGAAGGGGTCTTTAGCAATAGTAGGAAAATGGAGGATCCGGTGAAAACCCACGATCTTGGCTAGACGACTCTACTTGATCAATGGCAGGCCATCTATTAAACGCGCACGCGTTAAGCATTCGGTCAACCAACCTCCGAATATCTTTATAGTGTTCGTACTGGCTTATAAATAGGAGAGGGAACCATGGTGGTCAAGTGGGTAAGACACTGGCTCGCTAGCCTAGAGGTCGCCTGGTTTCCCCTTGAAAGTGATACAGGACCGAGGGCCTTAAAACAACCCGCGTATACATTGGCCTACACGTAAAAGATCCCTTGGCAGTTGGATTTCTTCTACGTCAATCAGGTTTAATACGTTAAACGTCATTTTATTTCAATTTATATGTTTAAAATGAATGATATGTATTATTACAACTGTTTGTGGGTTTCTTTTAGAACGTATTTTACGATATGATAAATGACATGGAGTTTAACGCCCTACTGCTTCGACTGTGAAAATGAAAACGATCATACGTCATGCACTGTGCTATAAGGGAAATTTAGCCCGAAGAGCGGCGCTACTGCCTATTCTAATATCGAATTCTTACTATCTAGCGATCTTTAAAGATCATGCCAATTTGTACATAAGATTCGTTTTTTCGTCCCATCCGAACGATTATACCAAAAACAAACTGGCAACTAAATTTTTTAATTAAATCAGACACATTACATGTTAGCTCTGTCTGTCTTTCTGTTGGCATTGCCAGATTTAGTTGAAGCCCCTCCCCATCCTCACGACAACAGGAAGATCAAAGTGACTATTAAACACTATTGAAGATATTGACGAATGTTTAGTTGATGCCCCCCCCCCTCCTCCCATACCTCATCTTGGCCCGATGACCCCCCCCCCCCAATCATGGCCCGATGAGCCCCCACACCACCCTCCACTCACCCATATCTTGGCCCGATGACCCTCATATCTTGAGACCCTCCTAGGTTTCATCCTGTCAAGCCCACAGGTCAATCTAGCACTGTCTGTTTGTTAGCGAGAGAGAGAGAGAGGGTGAGAGAGGGGGAGACAGAGACAGAGTGTATATTCCCATGCTCCTGTACACCATGTGCCGATACAGTGTCCAGAGATGTACGACAATTTAATCTATATGACATTTTCAGCTCTTAAGAAACATTCCTATCGGAGATAAAGCTCAAGTACCACTCTTAACATTTACACATTTTAAATCAGTGTAATAAACAGTGTTTAGCGCAATAGTAGAGTTGTCACTCTGCTTTATGCGCCACATTTTACATGGCATGAGCCTTGTTTCCCGGGGTGTGAAATTTCAGGCATCGGGTCAATGCCGACGTCTGATTGATTGGTTGATTGGAATTCGGGTGGACATGATAAAGACGGGCATGCGCCATACAGTGTACTATGAGGGACATTTTGCAGTCTTCACGTTGTCGGGCACGTAAAAGAATCCATGGCAACTGGAATTCGAAATAAAAGAAGGCCCCTCATTGCAGTCGGTGGTGATTAGTAAGACGTTAAATGTTGTCGGACACGTAAAAGAACCCATGACAGCCACGGTTGCTCAGTGGGTAGGACGTCGGCTCGCTAACCTGGAGGTCTCATATCGTTGGCCAAGAAAGTTCATCGTTTTTTTTCCGGCATATTTCCTCCTTGTCAGTGGTACGGCCACGGGGCAACATGTGTAGGCGTTCGGATAGGACGACTATACGGGGACCCGTAGACACATTGGCGGGGACCTTAAAAAAACCTTAACAATTGGAATTCGAAATAAGAGTCAGCTCCGCTATCCGGGCAAAATTTCACTTATAACACACTGTTTGTCGTATATTCCCGTCTTCATTAGCCCAGTCGGTGCAGAACAGTAGGACGTTAAACCTTATTTCATATCATTTCACTTGTCTACCTTCAACTTCACCAACTCGAGTGGATGTGTTATCATAAACTAGTTTAGAATTATAAGCGGGTGTATTTGAGGGGGGGGGGGGGCTCTATACTAATTTTGGCTTTTTAACATGTTTTTTTTATGTGTCAGAGTCTTATATAGCAGCTGTATAGTTTCTTACAGTTCATATCAGATATATATTGCTAGCTGTGTTATATAACGTGACATGACGACATCAGTACAACTTGTATGGTGGGTTATACAAGGATAGCTAGTAAGACAGAGCAATAATCTGTTAGTGATATCTACTAATTGGATAGACTAACATGCTATTACCCATGCTTAAGGTAAACAGCTACCATATTTTGGCTTGTTTTACTAATTGGATAGACTAAACCAGTATTAACCATGCTTATGGTTAATAGGTACCATATTTAGGCGACATTTCGAAGAATATTTTATATAAGAAGAACAATTCCTGATAATTACTTAACCCTTGGTACAATCTTGTAATCTCACCAATATATAGAGACTTTGCTTCACTTTTTTACATAACGATTCACAATGCAATGCACAGGGGAGAATTTAGTCCGTACAATGGCGTTTCTACCCAATTAAGTCAGCTATTAATTTAAAGTAGGTATTAATACAAATTTGTGATCAGATTTGTAACCCTCTATCCTATCTTCTAGTGAGAGGTGGTTGGGTTGCCTAATGGTTAATGCGTGCGCGTGGCATCATAAGGTCTCTCATTGAGTGAAGTGGCGTGGTTTCGATTCCCCGCTTGTTCATGACAATGAGTAGGATCGCCTGTCCAACCTCTTGGGTTTTCCCTGGGTCCACCGGTTTCCTCCCACTGGTGTACCTTTAACAGTAAACTGCTACCTCTATATTAACGGCGCACAGGTTTTTTTCTTATTGCATTAATGTAAGTTAACAGACTTCAAGATCAAGAACTGTTTTAAAAATGGTAACTACACGTTTTTCCTAACAAAGTGGAAAACAGGCTGGAAATTGTTCAACTTTCTCAGTCAAAGCCGGTGTCGAACAAGAATGGGTTGGAATGCCTGTGTTCAGTAACTTGTTTTGTTTCCCTTGACCTGTTGGTTACTACCAGTGCTTCATAATAAAACAACAATACAAAGAGTTTACAATTATTATTCTAATATGGAAAGATATTATACACGTATTTTAGCTCCATCTGGAATCATTTTTTATTATAATATGGAATGATATTATACATGTATTAAAGTTCCATCTGAAAAAAAAACTATCAGCTACTTCTTCCAGCGATTGACCATAATTTATTCCATATCGGATAGAAATAATGTTATCTCCCTTACACCGTAAACAAAACATTATTTAACAATAATTCAGCCATAACAGTAGTCTAATTATTAACGTCTTTTAATGTCAGTTATGTCATTAATTGTTACTTGAATTGTAAATTTTCTATGACCATTAATAAATCCACTGCCAGGATTACTGAATCTCTCCCAGTCAATAAGATCAGAAACATAAGTATAACCACCACCAGGTACAACAGTCCTATTACATTGTTTAACTACAGATTGTCTATCATCTGTTTTATTTATAACTTTATATGTGACGTCAACTTTACATGACGTAATACTTTTATCTTCTACGTCATTCAGGTATAATCCAACAAGTAATGATGATAGTTTACACACATAGATACTCCATGTAAAACCTGAAACTACATGTTGTTTACCATAATACCAACCACCATAACCTGGCACAGTATCCACATTAAAAACATCTTCAAACATATTCTGATGACAACTTACAATTTTACCAAGTTGATTAGTTAACAAAGTTTTATCTATCTCTGCTACTTGAAATGTTGAATATCTTACATCAGGTATATCCAATTTTCTACAACAACTTTCATCTTTTTCCTGTCTAACTTTAGGTATTCTTTGTAAAACTTGAACAACGGATGAATCTTCTAAAACATTCACTGAATATTTAACACTTGCTTTTAAATCTTCTGTTAGTCTTTTAATGTCCTCCATTAATTTCCTGAATTTGTATTCTTCCTCTTCACTAGTTTCTTGCATTTCCTTTTTAATATTTTCTCCGATTTTATGAAATTCTGAGCAGATTTTCTCAACTTGTGCATCTACTTTGTCACATTCAGTTTTTGTGCAGTTTTTGACTTCAGTTAATTTGCTATTTAAATTATCATAATGTTTCTGAAAATTAGTGATTTGTTTTTTTAATTCATCATTCAGTGATTGTAAGTCGTGTCTGATACTTTGTCTGACTTCATCCTCCTGTAAATCTAAATAATTGTGTCCATTATGATCGACCAAGAAACATTTCAAACAAACGGCTACAGTACAATCTTTACAGTATACTTTTACGGGCTCCTTTTCATGGCGCAGACAGAAATCTTTAGGATTTGGGATAGACGAAGCCGAAGCTTTTTCCTTTATTGTTTCGTGTGAAGTAGGCGCTTGATAGACCTGTGTTTCATCATATCGAGACACAACGTGGTCTTTACAAATTTTCATCTTATCATGCGTGGTTTTACATGATTTACATAAATATTGATCACAGTCTCGACAGAAATATTGACATGTATCTTCCGTACATACATCACATTGAGGAATATTAATTGGTTTAGGTTTAAATCGATCCAGACCTCCGTCACTAAGATTTATAAAGCTACGGCATAATGGACATTGGAACTGATCTTTAGTGGAGGTTTTGTTCACATAATCTTCTAAACAGATAAAACAAAAGGGGTGTTTACAATCGAGTACCACGCGTTGTTGAAAATCGTTCAAACAAATACTACACACTTCCTTCTCCGCCATTTTGAATAGCTGTATGTTGCACTGGTTGTATAAAATACGAGTTGAAACTGGACAAAATAACAACAAACAATTAGGCTAATATAATATACGATATCCTAGAAATCAAAAGTATGAACCTGCATAAACTTGCTATAATTTCTTATAAATGCATAAATTGGCTACCGTTTCTTAGAAATGCTAGCCAAAAGGTCTAAGGCACATAGTTGTAGACAATACGAGTTCAAACTGGACGAAAATACAAAATCAAACAATATAATATTTGATATCGAGACAGATGAACTAAAAATCAAAAGTATTAAATTCCACCAAAACGTCTAAATCCCATAGAAATCCACGTCTTTCATCGTCTTGCAAAGTTTGTCTTTCTTATACTGTAGACTGAACATGCGTAAACTTGCTACAGTTTCTCGGAAATTCTATTTTTATTTTCGTTTTGATATAATGACCTTCGACATTAGCCTTTGTCACCCAGACTATCACTGTGTGTATCAACTACCACGGATATTGTTAGTGTGGGTAACAGAGTCTACCACTAGCACGCCATGTCATGTTGACACTATATTTAGCGGTGTACGTCTATAATACCATCGTCTTACACAATTTATCTTCCTCGGACTGTAGACTGTACAAGTGAAAATTTGCTACAGTTTCTCGGAAATTCTATCGAAAACGTCTAAATCACATAAAAATCCACGTCTTTCATCGTCTTGCACAGTTTGTCTTCCTTATGCCGTAGACTGAACATGCGTAAACTTGCTGCAGTTTCTCGGAAATTCTATTTTTATTTTCGTTTTGATATAATGACCTTCGGCATTTGCCTTTGTCACCCGGACGATAACGGTGTACGTCAACCACCACTGATATAATATTATGAATGTATGTTATGTATGCATGTCAAGTTCAACTGATATTGTTAGCGTGGGTAACAGAGTCTACCACTATCACGCTATATCATATTGACACTATATCTAGCGGTGTACGTCTATAATTATAATATTATGAATGTATGTAGTATGAAAGTAGGTCAACTTATAGTGAGATATAATATAATGTATAATGTTTATACGTTTACACAGCTATAATTCCACGTGTTCCTATGTATGTCTCCAACTTGGTATATTCAACAATGTAGTAATATATCAACTTGGTATCTTTAACAATGTAGTAATATATCAACTAGTTAATAAACCTCTAGATATAATATACACGGCTGGGTCCACATGGCGCTATATCCTTACTTAGAAAGTTCATCGAGACTCTCTGATTTTAGTCCCATGCTCCATCCGAACGACTAGACGGTGTTCCTGCAGGACTGACAGAGGGACACCAAGCCGGAAAATCCGAATAGCTTTCTCAACCAACACTGGCATCAAACCCATAACCCCCTGGTTAACGAACGAGTGTCTTACTCACTGAGCCACCGCGACTCGCTTGATAATATAATACTTGACGTAATATCAAGGTTAATTTACGTCCGCTTCCATTGAGATGATACCGTAGACAATAAATCAATGTCTAAGTATTCTGATATTAACATATTGACGGTCGTGGTAGTCAACGAGTCAGGGGATTGAGTTCGAATCTCGAGGCTGGCTCGCTACCCTGGAGGTTGGGTGTTCGATCTCTGTATTGGTCGAGAAAGTTAAATTCATCCAGATTTTCCGTCGTGATTGAGGACGGAGGGCCTGACAAGGACCGCTGTCTAGTCGTTCGGAGGGTCCGAAAATCCGAGGTTCCGTGTACACATTGGCGTGTACGTAAAAGATCCCTTTACAGTTGGAATTCGATATAAGAGTAGGCCGTAGTGTCGCTGCCCGGACAGAATTTCCCTGAAAGTACACTGTATGGATATCCGTCTTCATTAGCCCATTTCGGGGCAGAACAGTAGGACGTTAAACTTCATTTCATTTTATTTCATTTCGAATCTTGAGAAGGATTTGTCGATCCTGATTTTCGTCTGCCAGGGACAGCATCCGTTAAGCTGACTAGTCCTTCGGATGTAACGATAAACAGAGGTCCACCCGTGTATAATTTGGTGCAATTCGTCTAATAAAACCTTTTTCTTCTGAACATTATATGGGGGGGGGGGTGTATTGAACCGGTCATGCAGCGATGATGATCATGTTGTATGTGGCCGGTAGCTTTAACGGGCCACCACGCCATCACTGGAGTTTGGAATGGGCTGGTATAATAGACTTTCTGGGCCGGGTGTGCTGGGTGTGGGCCGGAATTCGGAATCCGAAAATTTCACCGGATTCACCAGACACTTTCACCGGCAAATTTACTAATTATTAAGTCCCCTGTACCCTGTTTCTGGGGATACGTCAGAAACGTCTGCCGATCGTTTGTAAATTTCAATTTTAAGGCCTCAGCAAAATTTGATGATAGCTAGTCTGCTTGCTGAATATGAGTGCTAGACGATTTCCTGAGACTGGTGTTAAACATTCCTTAACATTTTTATTAACTCGTTATTTACAGAGATGAAATTACAGAATTGGGATGTCGGGAATGGTCTCAAATTGCGGGAAATGGCCTCCCATTTTTCAAAATTTTCCCGGGGGAGAGCACCCGGACTCCCCCATCCGGGCTCCGCGATCAGTAAAAGGGGCCGCTCCGACACGGGACCTCGGGCCGTTTCCCGGCCCCAATCCGCCCCTGGATACAACACGCACGCGCTAACCATTCGGCCATCCAACACCCTATTTTACAGTGGGTAGCGACTAATAAAACATAATTAAGGTGAAAGAGAGAAATGGGGTTTAACGTCCACTCGACACAAACTAGGTCATTTCGTGACTAACACATGGTTCAATTTTATTTTAATCATTCGCTTGTGCGTAGGGGTCTTTAGCAGTGGGAGAAAACCGGGGGACCCGGAGTAAAGCCACGAGGTTGGACAGGCGACCCTACTCCTTGTCACGTACAACCGGGGAATCGAAACCCCGCCAGTTCACTCAATGACAGGCCGTATGGTACAGCGCGCGTGCTAACCATTCCGCCATCCAACCCCCCATAATTAAGGTAGAGAAAATTAAAAGAAGGTTTTGATGTAACATCATTTACAGTTAAATATTACTTTAAATTGCGTTTTAGAGTTCGAATCACGCCATGGGCCCGAGAAGAACTCGTTCTCGCTTTTCAGGGTGGCCCCGGCGGAATTGACAAAGGAAATGTGCCTAATCCATCGGATAGGGTAAAAAGCGGCATTCCAGGCAAAGTTCACCATCGTATTGCACGCCTGGCGATTGAAAAGAAAAATACATTAATTAGTCTTAAATTGAGGAGACGTTAAACCCCATTCTAGTATTATATATATTGGGTGTGACTGTGATAAATACGGGGTTAAATGTACTGTCATGAACTGGCGTGGTTCCCCCGTTTTCCATTGTGCAGGACTTTGGGCCTGGCAATAGATAACACCTAGTTGTTCCGACAGTTCTTGTCTACTCAGGCGTGCAGGTATTGGAATTCCGTGTAAGAGTAAGCTGTCGCGCCGCTCTCCAAGACAAGATTATTTATATATAATTATATATCAATAGGTGATGTATTTTTATTATATATTCTCACCTGGTACAATAATTGATTGTTTTATAAACTTGGACGACATTAGTCACCCTATCTATTTTACTATAAAACTGCAACAATGCAGGATAAATGGATATGGATCATCCTGTCAAGGTTTGTAAATTTGTGTAACGAAACAGCTGACCGACAGCCGACAACTCTATACGCCTATATTACGCGTGGGTGTATATAGAAAAATTGCAAATAGAAAAAAAAGTGAGGAGTCCTTCCGTATTCGTGACTGAGACATTCTCCTATTGAACACCAAAACCAAATTTAAATAAAAGAAAGATGGTCAAATTCACGCTGATATGGATTTTAGCAAATTTCATGAAATTCGGGCAATAACTCAGCCCTGTATATAGCTTTGATACGTTTTATGTGAAATCAAGGGCTATAACTCTAAGCATGTTCATAATTATGATGTCAGTAATTAGTAATTCTTTCCCCAGGTGATTTTAATGTTAAATCTATGACATGCCTTGGCCTATAACATTTTTTCTAATATGCCCCGACCGGGCGTATTGAATTACCCAATAACACCCAATTAATAATACCCAATAATTCCAACTGCCAAGGCATACGTGCATGCCAATGTATACACGAGACCTCGGTTTTTCGTCCCATCCGAACGACTAGATAGCTGTCCTTGGCAGGCCCTCCGTCCTGCACCACTGACAAAGGTAAACCACATCGGAAAATCCAGATGAACCGCGACCTCCATGCTTACAAGCCAACGTCTTACTCACTTAGTAAGCTAGCACCCTTTGGCTCCCTTTTTAGAACGGAATTAGGTTAATGTCTCGATCTGCCACTTTAAGCGATTGGAATCACTTGTAAACTACAGCAAACTACTGTTCTGCTCCCACTGTGCTAACGAAAACGGGCATACGCCATACAGTGTGCTATGAGGGACACTTAGAGCGGACAGCGGCGCTGCGGCCTACTCTCAAGGAATCTTCAACGTGCACGCCACATACACGAGACTTCGGTTTTTTGTCCCATCCGAGCCATTTCGTCCCTGGTTAATTAGTATTTTGTATTATTTGATTTTTTAGGTTAATAGATGATCCAGTGCCCGCAGATGATACGTGTACAACAAAATTTACAATAAAATTCAATATAAAGTGTACGATAAAATTTCAATACATAACAATTTCATAAATATAACAAATTCAATGATTCTCTGTGGCAACAATTCCATGGCGATTCTTCCCCACACGGATATCCCGCCTGAAAAATCCTTCGTTAATGCTTTTTTGTTGTAACTGAAAAAATAAATATTTGATTGTTAATATATTTTAGTGTACAATTTACTTTGTTGTTTATTAATAAACGGGCCCGCTCTAGCGTGGAGATGTTCCGAAATGATAAAGCGAATGTGTCCCGAAAGTAAACTATGTCGTGTGGACGACTTAACCAACGTATTTGGGCACACAATTGTACTTTGTAAAAATTGTATAAAAAAAATATTGTGTTCTTGAATGTGTCCAATTTAACAGCGAATTTATTATTATTATGTAACATACTAAGAACCTAACTACATTTTTTGGGCACCAACCACCACCGCCCCCCCCCCCCCCAGTCAAAAATTTCCCCGTACGCCTATGTGGATGACTGCACCAACGAGTGTGGACGACTTCACCAGATTTTTCGTGTGGACGACTTTGCTCGTGGACGACTTAACTGATATTCCTCTTGCCATGCCTTCGAACCTGCACCTGCTTCTTTTTTTTCTTTTGAACATACAATTATTTCGGTGGGTGCATGGGTATTTTGTTTATACGACACAGTATGAAAGTGCCATTTAATGAAAACGAAAGTTGATTAAGATGCCAAGTTATGGCAACTTAAAAGTAAATAGCACGATCTGCTCAGTCACATAATAGAGTAATTAATTTAGAAGCTTCACACAGAACGATAATTTGCCTTACACCAGAGTATTTAGTAAGGCAGAGTAGGGTGAAGCTTGGTGATTTTATTTATATTTTCTTTTCTTTTCTTTTTGTATAGAATTGGTATATCAGATGGTTGGAGATGTTGTTGATATAGGGATGCATTCTGTTGGACCATATGATCCAGAGGTAGAGATACATGATATGGAAGGATTTTGTGGAATGTATATTGTTTATATGTGTAGCAGCAAAGGATTTAAAGTGCTGTAATTTAGGGCAGTGTAGAAATAAGTGACTGTAGGTTTCATTATTTTTCTTG